AAGGCCGCGGAGCACGGAGTTCACAGCCCGGGAGGCGAGGGCTGTAATTCGAGGGCGGACACAATGCAAGCCCTGCCACGCCGTCATCACGAGCCAGGCACACGCTGGGTCCAGCGCCAACGTGTGTCTTTGTCAACCTCACACCTGCCTGCGGTGGGGGAGGGCACACACAAACACACCATGGAATAGTGCCGAGTCTGATACAGGACGGGGGTTCTGAGACGGATGCATGGGAAAGACACGGGGCCCAAAAGCTGAACAACTGCTCCTGCAAGGCCCCCAGGGCGGTCCGACTCTCACACTGCACGGTGAGGGCCAGGGCCAGAGCCCGGGAAAGCGGGAGCTGTGTCATGCGGACGCCGTTGCAGCATGAAAAGATGACGAGGAAGTTCTGGAGACTGTAGCCATGATGGCTATGCAACCTGAATGTACCCGGGGCCCCCGGGACACACTTCGAACTGTGCCCTTCAAAACAATAAAGACACCAAATTGTATGTGACGTGAGCTTTATCACACACACACAAGAGTCCTCTGTAAATCTGACTTCAACAGGTATTAACTCAAGTCGCGATGTTGCAGGGACAGTCTCTTCTTTGGGGACTACTGTCATGCCATGGCTTCCATTAAAAATTGGCTGGTTATTCACAAGAGTGTCTTAGCAAGGTGGCAACTTTGAGGAATTCCATAATTATGGTAAGTAATTCAATTCAGAATGACTCCTGACCATAAAACACAGTTCCACAAATTATTTCCCTTTTTAATAGATGTTTAATACAAATACATTCATTCATTTAAATTAAATGAATAAATTATTATTCACTTATTATACAATTTTTGCGATAAATTAAGTAATTTATGAAGTTAATGATTTGATAAAGTTAAACCGCATCAAAACAACTCCTTTAACATCATATAAGTTTGATTAATATAAATTGAATAAAGGCAAACTCGATTGATGCCTATGAATTAAACATCTAATCACATCAAAAACAGACCATATTTTATCGTGTATAATGAGCACTTTTGCCCAAATTTTTGAGGGAAAACTACAGATACACATTATACATGGGCAGTACCTGGAATACCTTGTATCTGTTCTCGTGTTTTGTAATTATTTGTTACGTAAAACTTCTTGCACCGTAGTATGTAAAAAATAAATGCGAAGATTCCTTTATAATACAAAAACACCCCAAGGATCTAAATATAAATAACTACAAACTGAATTAAAACATTAAAGCGAAAGATTTTCTTTCCTCTGAAAGTTTGGGCCAAAAAGTGTTTGTGCGTATTATACACGGCAAAATGGGACATTTCTTGATGCAAAAAAAAAAAGGCCAACTTAGGAGTGATATGCAGGTCTATACCCTTACGCTGGTCTAAATCTCTAGTTATTTTGGGTACCAAGGCCACTGTGTTAGGACCCAAAGTATGTCATTCGTTACTGTGGCACTTTCTGTTCCACAGCTGCTCAACAACTAGAAAAGGGGAGGGCGGGAAATCTTTTAGAAATGCCACATTTTGGGCACCTGCCAACCAGCCCCCGCCATACTACTGAGGTCTGGGGCCAGAGAATTCTGTGCTGGGGAGAGGGTGGTGAAGACTGGCCGGTGCCCGACAGGATGCCCAGCCCGGCAGCACCCCGGGTCCCCACCCTCTGGCTCTCAGAGTCTCATCCTCCATGCTCCCCGCATCTGACAATCAAACGCGTCTCTCAGAGGAGAAACAGACCCAGCTGAGAACTATCGTCCCGAATCAAGACAGAGATATTTCAGGAACTTCCCGGAACGGTGGGTGCTGGGGAAAGAAGGTAAGAACAAAGATGCCTGGAAGGAAAAAGAGGACTGAAGAAATCTGCACCGCAGAGCGGAAGGGACGGAAGCAGGATGGCCTGTGTAAACAAACGGCACGTGCTCCAGCGCTTCTCATCAGCGGGCCACCTCGAGGAGTGACCGGTCCATCGAGTTATCCGCACGGAGCGCACGCCTCTGAATCAGCGAGCTCCTGGTTCCCAGAGCACGCAGGAAGCGGTGCTGCTTTCGATCAGACAGATCAGCAACACCCGTGTACCCTGCCGCCCCCGGGACTGCTGAACCACCGCTCTGAGGCGCCACCTTAAGGCGAAACCCTGCCCCCCACAAGTGGTTCCGTCTTTAACACAGCAGGCGGCCCAGCTGAGAGCCCCCTGTCGGCAGATGGTCCACCTGAATCCCCCTGTCCCAGTTGGTTCTCCTCATGAGATGCAGTTTCCTGACTGATTCCACCAGGAAACGCTCCAGGTGCCAGGCACCAGCTCCCTCAGGGTCACGGCACCTTTTGATGGCAACGACCTCAATCCTCTGTCCCCCCCACCCCACCCCGGGACCTGACGAATAGAAAGTGATAGGTGAAGGTTGGAAAACTCTCGGCGGAGAATTTCCAGGTCTCCACCCAACGGTTTGAAGGAGAGTGCTCTTTAATTCACAGCGCCTGCTTGGGATAAGAGATATTACGAAAACAAACCAAAGTGCTAATTTAACAATTAAAAGCAAGACAAGCAGTGAGAACCGGCCACCTGTGCCAGCTCCTTAGCCCCGCCCTCCCCAAAAGAACAGCAAGCGGAGACAAAGAGCAGAAGGCAAGGGCTCAGAGTGAGCGGCGCACACTCAACACCCACACCACACTCAGTGTCTCGGGGGTCCTCCGTGTCTTCCATGGAGAGCGCCGGGGACAGACAGCACACAGGTGGGGTGACCACCAGGAGACTCAGAGCCGTAGTGTCCTGGGCTGGACCATGGGGGCAAAAACAGCCGCAGCCTCCCCGGGCTGCAGGCTGGGAGCCTCAAACCAGCACGTGGTCCCACGGGAACCTGCGCATGCCCCTTTGCCGCGGCTCCCCGTGCACCAACCCCAGATGCAGAGACCCCAACGCCCTGCGCACAGGAAGGGGACAAACTCTGCTCCTGCTCAGCACCGAAAAGGCACGGGCTGGTGCGCCCTACACGCCTGGGTTGGATGGCAAGGGCTTCGGGTTCGCCGAAGAAAGGCACTCCCCAGAGGCCGCAGGCCGCAGGCATCCACTCGCGAACATTCCCGAAAGGCGGAAATTAAGAAGCAAGGAGAGCCCAGTGGTGGTCAGGAAAGGGTGACCCTGACTGGGAATCGAATCGCTGACCTTTCGGGTGGCCGGCTAGCGCTCCAGCCACGGAGCCACCCCGGCCAGGGTCGGCTTCCTCCTTTTGAAAAGGTGGTCTGCTCATGGGAGCGGTTATCGCTGGGGGGGGACCACTTTCGCCACTTTTTGTGGGTCTCGCATGATCTCAAAATAGAAGCTTCGAACGGAGCACCGTCTCACAGACGGACAGAGAAGCAAAACGCAGCCTAGTCACTCAACAGACAATGCAAGAGAGTGCCAGGGGCAACCACATGCTTGGACCCCAAAACCGCGACACTGAGTAGAAGGGATCAGCCCCGAAGAACACGATTCCACGCATCGGAAACATCCAGAACGGGCAAATCCACAGACCGCCGGCTGCCGGGCGCCGAGCGCCCAGGTGGGCGGGGACCTGCCGATGGCCACGGAGGATCTGCAGGCGGTAATGAAGTGTTTCAGAAGGTACTGCAGGGATGGGTGCACAAGTCAGCAAACACCCCTCCCACCCCAAAAAGTGTGTGCTTCCAATGGGGGAACTGTTGCTATGTGGCTCCAGCTCAGTGAATGGTAACAAAATATGGCAAGCTGTTTCAACGTACGCCGGGCCCCTGCATTCCTGATGGGCTGTCCCTGTCAGGCGCATCCAGGCGGGCGCAGGTGGCGGCTCTCATCCTGACAGTCAGAAGGGAGACTCCCGTGGGCAGGTGTGAAGAAGGCCCTTGACCCTTTGGGCAAGGTCAAGTGTAAAGAAGGAAGGCCCTTGTCTTTTTCTCTACATCATTTGTTTCCTGTCACTCCCCTCTGCTCCACTAACGTGGTTTATCAATTTTCCCTAAAAAAAAAAAAAGAATGCTTTCTGACTCCCAGTTCTTCACCTTTCGCCCTGAGTCTGCCAGCTGGAACACACTTTTTCCGCATGTGTGAAAATGCCACACCAGCAACCCCCACGAGGAGGCTGTGCCTTCCTCGGCGGCTCCGGCACACACTGGCACGCCCGCCCTCTGAGTCCCCACAGCAGAGAAAGCCCACGCCACCTGCGGGACAGCCATGTGGACACCGGGCATCCGGACACGGAGCACCCGTCCGCGCCACAGCCCCGTGCCTGCCTCTCTTCACACAGCCGTCATGCCTGACCCCTACAACGAGGGCCGACCTGGCTCAGCTTCCTCTCTCTACTGCACAGGGCTCCAGAAGCAGCGGGTTCACAGAACGGTCACACGGAAGATCCTTCCCACACAGTGTTCTGGAAAGGCTCCGTGAGAAACGGCTTCACTGTCAAAGGCGTGAACTGGAGCCCCGGCCTGGGACTCTGCGTCTGACAACACCCCACGCAGGGCTCCGACAGCGGGGACCGCCGCCCAGGCCACGTGTCACGAGGGTGTCACGAGGGTGTCACGAGGGTGTCACGAGGGTGTCACGAGGGTGTCAGACGTGCTTTTCACGCCCCACGCTGGCGGGTCCCCAAGGAGCGTCACTGCGGCCTGTCACCGCCCTGCACGCGTTCTGAGAGCAGCCCCAAGACAAGAGGGGCCTGTCGGAAGGAAGCCTCAGATGCTTCTCATGCATCAGCCTCCAGAGGACAAGCAGAAGCCTCGAGGACAGAGGGGAAAGAGACGAGAACCAGCAGCCCTGTTCCAGGGAGCAGACACACCATCACCGTCCACTGCATTCTCTCCCGCGAAAGCTCGATACAGCGTTCGTGACGGCCGGCTGCAGCGGCCAAAGCACCAGAAGCGGAGACCTTCACATGTCGCCGATTCCACGGCCCACGACCCTTGTGGCACCATTTCCCATCTAGACACAGAAAAACGGACAGGGGTCTCCGGCACACGCAGGCACCGCACGAAATCCCTTCCACGACTTCACTTACTCAGAGCCACGCGGGGGCCGATCCCCTCTTCCTCCCAGGGGCCGTGTTCACGCCGCTCTTCCGTCTTCCGCTACCTGTGAATGGAGAACACCCACAGTGAAGCACGCCCGACGGTGCACACACCCGTGCCTCTTTGTTCCCCAGGCTGGAAGCCACCCGAGTTCTTTCCTCGGGAGCTGAAACCAACCACGTGGTGGGGGGGAGGGCAGACCGCCGTCCCTGGTGAGTTCCAGGCTCACGTCTGTTGACAGAGCCCGCTGACATCAGGCTCACACATCTGTGAGCACGCAGGACCGACCCCATCATTTCGATCCCACGTGGTCTCCTGGCTGACGTGTTTTTCTCCACCACCCTGACCCGCGCAAAGTACCAATAGGCATTTGCAAGTTCAGCAAACGTTCTCCGGAGCCCAGGCCTCGTGTGGTCGCGTGGAAAATGAAAACAGAGCTCAGGGCTGCTCGGGGTGTTTGCCGGCACCCCTGGGCTCCGCCCACGAGATGCTCATAGCAATGCACCCACGCTGCCAAGGGGACCATCACAACTGAGCCCAAATGTTGCCGAGTGTCCCCAGCAGGGCACAGTGGCCCTGCTGAGAACCACTGGTGTGAAGACTCTGAGTGGAGGATCGAACCCCAAGGGAAGGACCAGGCCAATCCAGCACGGTGCGGGTGTCCCTGGCAGAATCCAGTGACAAAACTCTCTCAAAAATCAGAAAGAGGCCTGGCTGGCATAGCTCAGTGGATTGAGCACGGGCCTGCGAACCAAACGACCGCAGTTCGATTCCCAGTCAGGGCGCATGCCTGGGTTGCAGGCCAGTTCCCAGCAGGGGATGCACAAGAGGCAACCACACATTGATATTTCTCTCCTTCCCCTCCCCTCTAAAGATAAATAAATAAAATCTTTTTTAAAAAGGCAAAAAAAATCATAAAGAGACTCGCAAATAACTGCTCACAAGGAGCAAGGAGGGCATGTGAACGGGATGACAAGAAACCACATGGTCTCCTCCTCCCATGGTCACTGTGTGGAAGAAATCTAGAGGGGCTTCCTGGACGCGGCGGCACTCCTGTTGGCGCATAAAGTCAGGCGAGGAGAAAGAGAAGGGGGCTGCACCTTGCGTGGTGCTGGAGACAGCACAGAGGGACAAGAACACGGTGCTGAGACTTCTAACCATGTAGGGTGATGCCCTGGAAGGCTGGTGGGGGGACAGAGTGGGGCTGCCCCGTCCAGCTGGGGGACGAAGGGGCCACCCGGGCAGCACGACCCTGCAGAAGGCACACTCCCGGGCGTGGGGGGTGGCTCCCCAATACTGGACGACCTGCGGAGTTCCACCCAAGTAGCAGCCAGGGCCCCCCCTTAGCAGGGACGGCCAGTCGGGAGGCAGGACCTCCACACTGGGCAGCTTCACTGTTTCCGTCCCCAGTGTCCACAGGGGCAGAGACCCGGGCCAGAGTTTTCTGGGTGGTGCCCCCTGGGCCCAGGCTCTACCTCCAGAATGGTCCAGGTGGGCGCAGCGGAGACTGGGCCGGAGGGGCCCCTCCCGGGAAGATTAGAGCCATGACCTTGCTGCCTCCTTTACTTTCGTTTTCTCTCAGCTTACACGCGCTCACACCCCGCCCCCCGCAACATGGAGCACACTGAGAACCCTTCACTGGGGTGCAACGCCTCCATGTGCGTGAACATCGCATTCGGAAGAAAAAAGTGTGCTGAGACACAGGCCTCGCTTTCCTCCTAATTAATTGGAAAAAACTCTCTCTGGACAGAAACTCCTCGGCTGTGAAATGAGGGTATTAAATTATGGATGAGTTTCCCCGCACACCGCCAAATCCGAGGAACCGTGTTCCTGCTGACTTCTCTCAGAAATGAAAGGCAAAACAATGACCTCGCAAAGAGCCAAAGCAAGAACTCGCAAAAGGTCGGCCCAAGGAGGGAGGCAGGCAGGGGATCAGGGGCGGATGCCCATCTGTCTGTCTTGCAGGGACTGGGCACAGGACTACTGCCAAAGGGGGCACTCTTCTCCCTCCCCCCAGTAGAACTCAGGCTGTACCATCACGAAAATGACGAGCAAAACCCAAAGCACGTTTTTAGAACCACAGGCGTCACAGAGAAAAGCTGCCGTTCCCTCCTGAGTCCTCCTCCTGCTGAGTGAGCCCTGGGGCTGAGCCAGGCACCACGGGGGTGCGGGTGGGAATGGGGCATCGGAACGCGGAGATCTTGAACCCCTTCAAAGGCTCGGCTCCCAGGAGTTCTTTACCCAGCTGCCATTTCCTGGACCACCGAGCCCGAACATGTGTCTGAAATGACGCACTTGACGACAGCTTTTAAATCCCTCCCATCAGCGGTTCTCCAAGGGAGCTAACTGGTTTTGGCTCTGGGGCCACCAGGCGATGTCTGCAGACATTCTTAGCTGTCAGGACGATGGGAAGAACACAGGACCCACCCCCACCCTCCCACCAACAAGCAAAGAACTGCCTGGCCCAGATATCAGTGACTGCCAGGGATCGCCACACTAAAAGTTCTATAGTTTTACACGTCTATATCCTACACACTTTCATCCTCCAAATCATCTCATTGTTTTCCAAGTGACGCATGTACATGGTTTTCGAAAGTAAAACACAGGCGAGGCAAAACGCTCCTCTTTTTTGTTATAAGCTTTTCAGCACCATGTACCCCCAATTCTATTCCCCAAACCAACCCCTCTCAAACCTGACAGGTGTTTGTAGTATCGGCGTCATTCCCTGGCACAGACTTTCACGTCTGCAAACACCCTGCTCACAATATTCCCCATCGACTGGAGGCACGGAGGACTTGATTTCCCCCACACACAGAGGAGGACTTTTGGGTTTTAAAACTCATTACGGGCCCCCTCCCCCCCTTTCCAATGGTGTGACTGTTGGGGGTTAAACCTCCACCCTCTACACCCCCTTCGGGCAGTGGAGTGGATGCTAGGAGTACATACAGCATGAGTACAATGAGTACGGCTGCATTCCTGCATGGCTTTTGGGTTTCCTTGGGTTATTAGTTGCCTCTATTTTTATTCCATAGTTTTCTTTGTGTTCTTTGGTTAAGTCTTCCAACAATCTCCACAGTCTTTTCAATTCCACTTTTTCACATGATTGAACCCCTCGGTTAACCTGTGGATTCCATGCTTTTTTGCCCAAATCCATACACACGGGAGCTTCCTCCTGAAATTTCTTGTCTCCGCTCCGCTCCGTACTTGCCAGCTTCAGGGCTGCTAACGAGCCTGAAACCACTCAAGCGTCCTGAGGGTTCCTTCTGTCTCTCTCTGTTTCTGGGGTCCCGAATGCTGCCTTTCTTGGGGTACACTCTCATTTTGGTGGGACAGATTCTGCAGGAGCCTCCTGAGAGGTGACGTGTGAAAAGCTCAGTTTTACCGATGTCCTTAATACAGGGTGCGGCCAAAGTAAGTTTACAACTGCTCATGTGGAAAGCACACGAATCGGTAAATAAATACAAGAATGAACTCTGTGTTTCTGGACTCACACTATAAACCTACTTCCGCCCCACCCTGTCCATACAAATAACTCGGTTGTATTTTAACTCACAACTGGTAAGGGCATGACTTCCAAATTCTGAGTGGAAATTATTTTCAGACTCCTAGGCTCAGGCTGTGTTCCAGCGTCTAGTGTTAAGAAATTTCATGTCGTTGTGCCCTGGCGGGTGTGGCTCAGGGGACTGAGCACCAGCCTATGAACCAAAGGCCCGCCGGTTCAATTCCCAGTCTGCGCACATGCCTGGGTTGTGGGCCAGGTCCCCAGTAGGAGGCGCACGAGAAGCAACCACACACTGAAGTCTCTCTCCCTCTCTTTTCCCTCCCTTCCCCCTCTCTAAAAATAAATAAAATCTTTTTAAAAAGTAAGAAATTTAATGTTCTTCTGATTCTACATCTTCTTACGGTATTTTTTAAATCCAGGAAAGTGCTTAGGTACTGCCTTCAGTGCTCATGTTCTCAAATGATGTGATTATGAACATGCATGTAGTAAGTGGTTTTGATGCAGTGGGCGGACGTCTGAGTGACCACCTCCCATCCGTCTAATAAAACCATCGTACCCTCGAGATCCAGTAAAGCTACAGGGCACTGGAGAGGTGACTCGTTCCACCGAGACCGTGACGCTTAGGTCTGCACTTGATTTTAACTGATGTAACTTTAAACAGCCTTGCGTTGGCCTGTGGCTGCCATGGAATAGCAGGAGTCCACGGTTCGGACGAAAAAAGCAAACAGGACAAAAAAGGAAGAGCAGTGGCTTTTGCTCCGACCCTAACACGACGGTCAGTACCCAGGGTTTAGAAGACAGGGTCAAGTGCGGATCCCGCCGGGACCACTTTCCCTACGAGGCTCCGAGGTTTACCTGCCAGGCCCTCTTCTCCTGTAAGAACGTGAGCATTTTTATGCATTTATTTTTTTATCCTCAGTCGAGGACATGTCTTCACTGCTTTTAGAGAGAGAGAACTGGAGACAGAGAGGAGTGGAGAGAGAGAGAAACATCGATGGGAGTGAGAAGCACAGATTGGTTGCCTGGTGTATGCACCACAATGGGAGCTGGAACCCACAACCTAGGCATGTGCCCTGACCGGGGATTGAACCCTCAACCTTCGGTCTATAGGAGGACGCTCCAAGCAACGGAGCCACCCAGGCCAGGGCAAGAACTCGAGGAGTTTTTGGAGCGGCATGGCACATGCAGACATATCTCTTTGTCTGTGACGATGGGCTGTATTACAACTGGCCTGTGAATGGGGCCACCGAGGGCCCTCCCCCCTTTGTGTGGGGATGGGCAGGAGGGTCCCACACAAAACGGGAATCTGTGAACACGAACAGCACGAACCAGAAGCACTAAAAAGGTGAACCCTTAAGGGGCAGACAACACAACGGGCAAGTTCCCGATGGCAACTTCTCTGAAGCTCCCACCCGCAGAACTGCACCCAGAGGCCCCGAGACCCCCAGCACCTGCTTCTTCCCGCCCGTGTGGGAGGAAAGACCCTGAGGCAGCCTGGTGGGCACTCCAGCAGACAGAAACTAGAAAGGCATGGGGCTCTTCCTGTGCTTTGGCTCATTCCG